CCCCCCCGCCTCAGCATCCCCGGCTCTAGGCTGCCCTTTTTATGGCCGCTTTTGACAGTAAGCCATAAATAATCCCTCTTGGCGCTCTTTCCTACTCACTGGAGCCAATTAAACGTTAAGCAAGAACACACTTGAAAACAAAACAAAAACAAAGAATGCACACCAGCTCTGGAGGTTATCCCAGGTCCCGCCGGCAAGCTGGGAAGCTAGGGGGCAAAGGTCAGAGGTCAGAAGCACCCAGGTTGCTGGCTGCTGTCCCTGTCCACACAGGTACCATTTCCCGGAGGCCCGCAGCGGCCTGAAGGGGACGAGGGCGTGCTGGAAGAGGTCTTTGTTCTCTCCTTGGCTGCCAGGGGAGGAGGACAGGCTGGGGCCTCTCCGCGGGGTTCTTAGTGGACAGGGGAATAAAAACCTAGTGTGCAGAAAGGGGGCCAGCACAGGCTGGATTTAGATTCCTTCAGTGGCCCCGTCAGCAAGCAAGTTTATGTGAAGTGTCTGGGGGTGGGGCGATCCTCTCGGCTGTCTTTAACCACAACCACCAGCACCCCCCACCAGGTAACTCCTGCTCACAGGGGAGAAGGGTAAGACAAGCAGGTCCTGCACCCAGGTTTCCTGGACTCCTGGAGCTTGCAAGCTCCATCCAGCAGCCTCAGTTTCCCCAGGGAACCAAGTCGGCTGTGGGTCCCCTCCCCACCGCCACAAAGAGAAATGGGGTGTCCCACTAAGGTTGACACAGACTACCCCACATCCACGGCAATGTGTCCAAGGGAGTGCGGAGAATCAGCGAGTGAGTCGTAGGCACAGTGCCCGCCAAGGGAGGAAGCAGGGTGTGCCACAGAGAAGCCTGGCAGAAGGTGCTGGGGAGACGCATGGCTTCCTGGTGTTTTGTAAACAAAGATGAGTAAAAAAGAGGAAACACGAGGCTTAACAAAGTCTGGTTCCAGCAGAGCAGCCTGAACTTCAGCTGCAAAGCTAGAGACCCAGGCCGGCAGCAGCTGGGAGGACTCCCGCCACCATGCCTCCCCAGCTGCCGGGTCCCCCCAGCTGCTGCCCACAACAGGTGCAAAGGTCATGAGTAGAACAGGAGACCCCGGGAAAAGACAGGTCCCTGGAGAGGCCAGTCTGCCGGCATTGTGAATCGCCTCAGGTACCTGTTTGAAAAAGCCAAGTGACAATACCAACTATGATTTCCAACAATAATAGAAACAGACTGTGGTGGTCCCATACGGAGCACTCTACAGTCCTGCTTCTTCTTCTTCTTTTTTTTATTTGAGATTGTTCTACTCATTTTACATACCAACCACAGATTCCCCTGTCCTCCCTCCTCCCGCCCCCAGCCTTTTCCCCCCATCCCACCCCCCATTCCCACCTCTTCCAAGGTAAGATCTCCCACGAGAAGTCAGCAGAGCCTGGTACATTCAGTTGAGGCAGGTCCAAGCCCCTCCTCCAGGCAGTGGGATGGGGACCTGTCCCTAGTGCATGAGCCGGCTTTCTGGAGCCTAGTGTCTATGGTGAGACTATAGGCGCAGCCTTGGCGGTCCTGCTTCTTAAGGTGTGGTTCCCCAGGACAGCAGCCTCAGCACCATCAGGGATGCTCAATAGAAATGCGGACCCCTCGACTCAGAATGTGCGCTTTCAACAAGATCCCCAGAATTCTGAGGTTCAAGGCACAGTAGAGAATAAAAAGTATTCTATTTATGTTAAGACCCATTGCCTCCCTACGCCCTCTGGAATGGGTCTGTATTATCATGCCCAGAACTAAAGATCTCATCCAGTCATCACATGGCTAGTAAGGGGCAGGGACCGGCTAGAACCCAGAGCCATATCCCTACTTAAGATCACTGTGCATCATGTGCCACCAGCCGTCTCTCGCTGTGCCAGAGAAGAGCTGCCATCTGTCCTTTAGGACATCATCTCAACAGAGCAGGATGGCTAAGGAAGGAGACCATGATTCTACGATCCAGTGCCCGCACCAGCCTGCACCGTATGCCTTGGTTTCTCCCAAATCCTCTCGATGGAGGTCATTTGCTCAGACCCCCAGGTCCTTTGGGAGTGAGACAAGGAAACAATCTCACCCCATCATTTAGAGTCAGAGAAGCATGTGTGAGCTGGTGAGTGGTCAGTCAGGGGGGAGGAAGACTTTCGAGGGCTGGGGACAAGCATGAGTGTGGATGGTGGCACACACAGGCCAGCGCCGTGTGTACCACCATCAGGGCTCTTGACCTAGCAAGAAGGCGCTAAGGGAGCTAGTTAGACCCTCGGATCAGGAATCAGTCGGGCTTTAGGCTGGATCTCTCGCTCCCTGTTTGTGAAAACTCACACTGGTGTTATATTAGATCTATAACTTCCAAACCCAACCATGTCACAAGACAGAGTGTCCCAGCCCCACCCATACCAACAAGGTCAGACTGTCCAGGGAAGGGGCCCAGGAATTTACATGCTGAACAAACTCCATTAGTAACAGTCTAAAAATCAGAAGAGGCAGACAGGCTGGATATCTCGGTGGTTAAAAGTGTATACTGCCCTTGCAGAGGACTGAAGTTTGGTTCCCAGCATCCACATCAGTGGCTCACAACCACCTCTAACTCTAGCTCCAGGAGACCTGATGCTGTGGTTTCCAAGGGCTCTTGCATCCCCATGCACATAATGCCTCCCCCCCCCCACATAAACACACTGTGGTGATTTGAAAGAAAATGGCCCCCCAAGGGGAGTAGCACTATTAGGAGGTGTGGCCTTGTTGGAGGAAGTGTGTCACTGTGGGGGCGGGCTTTGAGGTCTCTTTTGCTCAAGCTTCCCTCAGTGTGACAGTCAGTCTACTTCCTGCTGCCTTCTGGTCAAGATGTAGCCAACACCACCTCTGCCTGCACACCACCATGCTCCCCACCAAGATGATGACAGACTGAACATCTGAAACTGTAAGTGAGCCACCCCTAATGAAATGTTTTCTTTATAAAAGTTGCTGTGGTCATGGTGTCTCTTTGTAGCCATAAAAACCCTAACTAAGACACACACATAATTAAAAATAATGAAAATAATATATTTTCTTTAATCAGAAGGGGGCTGGGAATGAAGCTCAGTGGTAGACCACTTGCCTAGCACACATGGAGGTCCTGGGTTCAATCCCCACAAAAATAAAAGGAAGAAAGAAAGGAAGGAAAAAAGGAAGAAAGAAAGGAAGGAAGGTCGGTCAGAAGGAAAATGTAAATATTCCTTGTAAAAACATCATAAAATACAAGCAATTACAGGGGAGGATATCAAAGCTACTGTTGATCCTATAAGCCTAGAAGAAAGCACTGCACAGTGTGGCACCTTCTTCAATGCCTTTTAACCTCTTTCCAGCCAACAATGTCTTACCCTGGTGGCCACACCAGAGGTGGATCCTGCCAGGTACTTCTGCAGCAGCCAGGCCACAGACAGCCTTCTGGAAACCACTGAGGTACTTTCCAACCCCAAGGAGTTTGTGACCACAATTGCCTTCAGGAGTGCAGCACCGTGCCAAGGGCTGAGCAGAGCCTGAGCAGGCCTGGACACTGGCCGGGGAGGGCTGGCAGCCCGTCCCTGGGACCCTGAGCACTCCCAGGACATAAACCAAGCCTGCAATACTGTGCTTAGGTTTCTCCAGCACACCCCAAAATGGAAAGCAAGCTCCCACACACCAGGAGTCAAAGAGTAGCCTGATTACAAGGAGTAACAACAAACAAAATATTTCTACAAGTCAAACAAAAGAGACTAATGAGAAAGGAAAGAAAAAGGACTTGAAAGGAAGCCAGAGAGAGAGAAACTGTGAGGAAGGAAGTCGGCCTCTACCAAACAGGATGAAGGATACAAAGACACCAAAAACAACAGAGAGCACCGGTCCTTCCAAAGGAGGGAGAGGGAAGGGGGACCTCTGAGTCTCAGGCACCCGGCCAGGCACTCAGCATATAATCTATCACTGAGGGCCAACTCCTGGAACAGGGCCCAGCTCCCCCAGGCTGGGCATGTGTGCCTCAGCCTGGGAGCTCCCAGAAACCACGAAGAGTGACCCAAAGATGAGAGACTGGGAAGGGAGATGAAATACCCCAAAGCCTTCCCACTCACCAAGCTTTAAACCCAAGGGTGGAAGGAAAGAATAGAAAATGTTCAAGGGGCTGACTAAATGACTCAGCGGGTATGGGTGCTTGCCACCAAGCCTGATAGTCTGAGTTCAAGTCCTAGAACCCACAGGGCACGACAACAAATGCCTTTAATCCCAGCACTCAGGAGACAGAGACAGGTGGATCTCTGCATGCCTGGTTCACACAGCAAGTTCCAGAGACAGAGGCAGAGACAGGTGGATCTCTGCATGCCTGGTTTATACAGCAAGTTCCAGGCCAGCCAGGGCTGTCTCAGAACAAACAAAAAA